ATAGATACATGTATCTATACGATAGATATATATCATATAGATACATGTTTTTTCGAGATAGGCCAGATTATCGTGTCAACGATGACAAATTAGAGATAGAACAAGCCCAATTTGGGAATCTTTTTTTCTCTACTCTCAATCCAATGTTTCCGTGACAAATACTGCAAATAATTTGGATTCCGATTCTATTTAATTCCGTCAAAATTGGGACATTTTACAGATTTTATCAAACTTTTTGATGAAAAAAAATTCTCTGTAGCTAGGAAAAATTGAACCAAAGAAATTATTCATCTGGAAATGAATCTTATGATGCTTAACAAAAAGAAAGATAGAGAAAGAAAGAGAGAGAAAAAGAGAGAGATAAAGAGAAAGAATGAGAGTAAAGTAAAGTAATGTACGTATCTCTATAAAAAGCACGTTTTTCTGTTCATCCAAAAATAGAATAACTAAATACGGACCGAAAATTTTGGCAATCAAATTTTTAAAAATTAATGAATAACTTTTGAAATAGATGAAAAATACCTTAAGCGTTGTTAAAGTATCGATGTTTTTGTAGATGCTTGTTTGTATTTTTATGGTTTGTTTGTCTTTATGTCTGTCTGTCTGTCTGTTTGTTTGTCTGTCTCGCCGTACGTATGTATGTGATATACGTATGCATGTTTGTATGGATGCCCGTCTGTTTCTAGAGTATGTGTATATGTATAAATAACAATTTTTAAATAGAATTAACAACTAGATCACGACTTTGACGCAAACTAAAAATTTTGTTTTCAACTCAAGAATTGATTGCTTTTCATTTCGTGAATGAAAATACAAACAGACATAGCATCTATAATAACATTTGTGAACTAATCATTTTATAATAGTGAGTTAATAATAATTTCTCATTTGAACATTTTTATTTCAACTTGGAAATTTGTTAGATAGATAGGTATATATTTATATTTCAACTAAATACATTAACATTTAGAGGACTATAGATTGTGTCTATTCGGTGCTTTTGATTAGACATGAAACATTAAACGTTGGTGATCTAACAAGCAATGTCAGAATTTGTGTCAGAAACTGCATAATTTATGTTGTCTAACCCAAAATACATGTTTCACCAACAGCTCACACCTCTTCTACTAAAATAACCAAGCCTTTCATGAATTATATGAAAACTGGAGTTATAATTTATAGCTCTGCTATGGTTAATTTATGCCTGTCTTCTTATCATTTATCTCATTTTCTATTTAATTTTGGAGGGCATACAAAAATTTCGTTCCGTTTTGCTTCGTATGTATGTATGAGTGTTATATACGTGCGTACGTATGTGCGTATGTATGTGGGTATGTATATGTGTGTGTTTGTGTGTGTGTTTGTGTGTGTGGTGCGTTTTTTCAACATTTTAAGATCAATTGAGTTAAACAAACGTTAAACAAACAACTCAGAGAAGCAAAGAATAATATTTGAGAAAAAAACAACTCTGATATTAATCAAAACTTCAAATACGGTTTATTTACAAAGCTTAAAATTTTTTTTCTTAAAAAAATTTCGTAATGTAAATTTTTTGTTACATTATAAATGCTGGGAAAAAATTTCCTACATTTTCGCTACTTTTTTATATAACAGTAGATGAATTTGACGTGTGTGTAACTTCTTTTAGAATTTTAAAAGATTAATTGTCGACAATAAAGGCAGAATTGTATAAATTGTTTTCAATGAATAAATTTTCAAAGTTTTTTAGTTAACCAGTTAGTCAGTTTTTTCTGTTAGAGTCATTTTTGAATTCACTTTTCGTTCTGTGATTGGATGCGGATTAAGTATGGGGGCAAGCGGGTTATAGGGGCTTTCCTTCACAAGTAAAAGGGCCCCTAAATAAAAATATAAAAGTGATTATTCACATTATCACCGACAAATCCGATTTTTACTGGTTTTTGTAGAATTCTCTCAATTATTTGTGTGCTTTTCGTGAAATCATCTGCTGAAATGAGTTTGGCTTTTTTCAAATGCCCTTCGTTTGCGTAAAGATTTTTAAATTTTTACAAAGTTTATGTAGACTGTAGTGCTTATGTACGTGTGTTTATGTGTGTGTGTGTTTGTATATGCATGTATGTGTGTGTATATGTGTGTGTGTGTTTGTATATGCATGTATGTGTGTGTATATGTGCGTGTGTGTTTGTTGCTTGTGTATATTTCTACTAGTAAATGATTTTGCGTGTGTGTTAATTTGCTTTAAATTGCTAAGTTGTTTGTTTGCGTGGGAATAAACACGTTTGTGTGCGTGCGTGTGTGTGCGTGTGTGCGTGTGTGTGTGTGTGTATGAGTGTGTGTTTGCACTCACTTAGACGTGGGTGGGTACTGAGAAATACCTCTGTTCGTTTGTATTGTTTTTTATTTTGTTTTTATTGTATGTATATTTGTTTGTATTATACGTATGTTTTGTATGTATGCCTGTTTGTTTGTTTTTTCTGTTTGTTTGTTTTTTGTTTGTTTTGTTTGT